CAAACAAACAAACAAACAAACTCTATGTTGTATATGTTGTAAAAGAAGTCGGGAGGTTATAATTCATCCGGATATCGGATCACTGCGACATAACTTAAGTTTTTAAAATCCCTCGGTTAACTGTTCTCTAATTCTACTAATGTAATTAACGCTTATTAACGTTTAAACATTCAGTATCAAAGACTGAATTTGAGCGTTTGTTATATGAGCAAGTAAACGAACCAGCATTACAATATTAAAATGGTTTCACTGGCTTAGGCTCTAATAAAATATTCCAATTCGGACTAATAATTCTCAGTTTATTTCAGGCGTTAGTTCATATAGAGCTAATAAGAAACGTAAACTACGGTGTTCAAAAAATAACATATTAATATAAAGCAACAAATAATATTCAAATTCACTGATTCAATGCTAGAAAAATATGTAGATAATTAACCGCAACCCACAAAACATTTGCAGTAGTTTTCTTGCCCTTCGCTTCAAATTTCCTTATTTTATCATTTTCACGCACGGCATTTAAGCTGCGCTTTCCTGCAGGCATTATATGTTAGATCGATAAATCCTGGTTTATTTGAAAAAAATAAATTATGCAGTCAGACAAACAAACTCACGTGGACGTAACGTTATTTAATAAAACTACAAGTAAACAATAAGGTATAGTTATGGTATTTACGATAGTGTACAGAGTATGAAACAGTTATAACCATTCAGTGTATGACAAGGTTTTACGAGTTGAAACAAAAACGAAGAATAAAACCCGTACTGAAAAAAAAGGTGTTTATAGCAGTCTATGAAACGAACCGGAGCTAAATCACTGCTAAGTTGTAATGAAGGCAAACTTAGCTGAATATATAGAAACGCCTGAATGCGTGTTCGCAAAGTGATAAGCATATGGTTTCGAACGTGCTGCGCATGTGTATTTTAGACCTAAATAAGTCGAGAAAACCCATACAAATTGTATGTAGTGCAATGTTAATTTTTTAATGAAATTACAAGCGGATTAGGTGTTGTTTGTGTGAAATACTTTGCAAATAAAAACCTAAGTTGAAATCGAAGCCAGTCGTTACATGATCACAACGACATTGTACCATGGTGCACCATACTCGTTGCATTAAAAAGTTTGACTAAGCAAAAAAACAGGTAAGATAATTCTGAATGGAAAAGTCAATATACAATCTGGGCTCGTTGGATAAAGCCCTTTCTAGTGATATGAGATTTGTAGCATTTTATCTAGAAATTTGCGAGAAAAGTTCCGGACAGACAAACGCAAGTTTATTATTTATATGGATATTTTTGTACATGTTTTTGATGTTTTCACATATTTTAGTTAGAAGTAATTAAATGTATCGTTTTCATAACCTTTCAGTAAAACTAAGAAAGTTTACAATGTGGCGTATTTTACTAGTACATTCAAATTAACAGGTTTTGTTTTCATTTAAGTTGCAGTTTGATTGGATTTTCTATTAATTTTTACTTTCGTAAAACAAAGACAGTAAAAATAATAAGAATACTGAAGTCAGATATCTTAAAGCAAACTCTTCAGTATAAAAATGTTATTGATATGAAAGAAGGAATGGTGAAAAAAATTAAATGGAGAATTGTGCAATAATGGTACGGGGACCAATATGTAATTTTTCTGTATTCTGAGGTAAAAACAGTCATTATTTTTAGGAAATTTTCCAGTATTTTAACAATTATTAAACTTCTCTTTGCATTACAAACAAAAATATATTATGGATGTGACCTCGATGGGCATTGTTTTTAACATATTACTTTATCTCTAACAATAGCGAGAACTTTTTATTTACATTTTAAGAAGCCCCCCCCCCCCCCAATGGCACAGATAGCCCATTGTGTAGCTTTTTGCTTAATTACAAACAAACATTTTAAGAAAACTAATATTTATTTACTTACCTTAGGACCCTGAAGACCATCTTTGCCCACTGGCCCCTAAAAGTTTTGAGAGAAATATTAATTTACCTACAATGTTAAGAATACTTATTATTGTAAATGCATGTAAAAATAGTATGTTAACATTGCCAAAAAATCTTATCAGTATATACGTGATAAACAGGTATTCGGTATTTTAAGCTTGACCGACACCTTATGCGATACATGAGTTAAATATTCAGGCATAGTGTTCCTAATTTAGAATTACTGTCAAAAGGGAGGACAACTAGTCAGTAGCATCTGCCACCTACGTGGTGGCAGATGCTATTGACCAAATAGCAGGACTGACTGTCACAAATATAATGAGTAAGCTGAAAGTGTAGAACGTGTTCGGTGAAATATCGCGGATCGGACCTAGAATCTTTCAATCCATAGCTAAGCATGCTAACTATTAAGCCAAACCCAGGCGTAATTAACAGTAAAAATATTCTGATCTATCAATATTCATGTGTGGTTTAGGATGTCAAGTACTCAGAAAGTTCAAGGGTAATATTAAAAAGAAATGATTTTAAATGTATTAAAATTTACTCTTGCATTTATTTTCTTTTGTTATCAACAACTTACCACAGGTCCAGGGGGGCCAGAGGGTCCTGGTTCACCCATTGGTCCCTAAAAATATACAGTTTAGAATTATAACTTTGTACTTAAAAAGTGTGCTGGTACAGTTAAGAAAGAAATAATCACATTAATCCAAATCCCTTTCTCTGGTGACTCAAATGTTACAAAACACATTAAGAATTTCAAGTGTTATACTATTGTGGTGTTGAGAGTATCATTTTCCGTATGATAAACCAAAATCTTAATAATAATTAGGTATTAGGAAAATTTGATATACAGAGTAATGTCTCTTTATTTCACTGCTCTGTTAATAGTGTCTGTAATATTCAGACTAAAACGCATAAAATATAATCATTAGGTATAATGAAAATGTAAATGGGTATAGGGATGATATACACGTGATCTTAAAAATTAAATAATTACTATACAAAGCTTTGTACGATGAATGTACATTCGTCTTTGTTGAAAAAATGATGGAATCTATCTCTATATATAAAGACATTTTGGACTAAGGAGTAAAACATTTGTATTATTTTATTGATTATGAGATATTAAAGTAGCGTAGATGTAGCTATAAAAAACAACACTGCTATTTTGGGCAGAGAACATAAGATAATTCCACATGTGATAAAAGCGTTTTTTCTATTTTCAACGTCTGAGCTTTAATATTAATATTTTTCAAACCAAAAACAATGGCCAATATGAAGTTCAAAGTTATTGAAGCTTGAAACAGATTTTACTTGAAGTCTATCAGTTCCGAGCTTAAGGATCATTTTTTTATTTTTTGAAAATCCTCCAAGTTTATAAAATAATTTTCCTGGAAGTTCGAGGAAACTCTTGGTGGAGAAAGCAAAATTTAATAGCTGAAAAGTTTCAAAGTATATATGCTTTCCAGACAGAGGAAAGAAATAAAATTTATTTAGCATTTACTCCACACCCAATCTGGTAAAACATCAAAGGAGTAAGATACAATTGAACAACTACGATAAATAATACAATAAAAACAATTAAAGTAAAGAGAAAAACAATAATGAGGTTTAACGTGATGGTTTACAAAATATTTTCAGGTAGTTATAACTGGAACATCAGTTTCCATCAACATCTTTATCGCAGGCAAACAGCTGAAGATGTAAAGTTAAAATTCAAGAAATTTGTGTAGAACTACTTAGAATACTCAAAAAATGAACGTTTTTAAATTCTAATCGTTTGAGTATTTTAGCTGAAGGTGTATTTGGAAGTCCAGTTTTTACATAAATAAAACGTTCTTGCATTTTTGATTTTAAGTATAATAATAAAAAAAACGAAACTTGATAAGAGATAATTACATACAAAAAATCATAACATAGTAAGTCCATTTAATTTTACTTACTTGTTCACCAGGCATTCCAATCTGGCCATCAAAACCAGGCAGACCAGTTGGGCCCGGAGGTCCTGGTGGACCAGCTGGCCCAGGCTCACCTGGCTCACCCTGGGGTGAAAACAATCATTGATATGCCAAGTGTCAGAATATATAACAAATAATAATAATCCAAGATATTTACATATTATTTTATGCTATCCAACTACTAATTTTTCATCACGTAAGCAGAGTTCTGGGAAATCAAATTTAATTAACTGAGAAATATTTCCGTTTGGTTTTACGTTTTAGAACAAAGTAAACTATTGTTTTCAGAATGCCGGATATTACAGATGATTTAAGAATGGTTAATAAATCATACAATCCGGCAGAAATAAAAGCTTTTAAAATGAAGTTTTGTTTTTCTAAAAAGAGCGCACTGTTGAAGAAATACCGATACTATATAATGTCGACTTGTGTCTCTTTGTTTCAAAACACTAATATTATCATTCCAAGATGACTGTAGGACTCGGACTACTTTCTAAGTAATTAATTTCAATGTTTGAGCAAAAATCTTTTAAAATGGACCAGTTACTCCATTATCATACTCCCAAGAAAGATGATACAACATTCCAGTATTAAAGGGCTGTAATTAAATAGTACGTTTGTAATCACATACAACATCATATTAAACATTTAACTCCAATAGATTGAAGAAACTACCAACAAAGTTATCGCTATTAGAACAGAAGAACTGAATTATCTTACTAATGATGGCATAAGAAGTAAATGGTTTGAATGGAAAAAAAAACCATATCACATTTTATACGCTCTATATTTTGTATGTGACAAGAAACAGCAACATAAATAAACCTGTGTACAACCAAGAAAAGTTAGTAACACTTTAATATAAATTATATAACAATACTTAGAGTAAAATGATTGTCATATGGAACAAAAAGTACACAAACAAACAAACATGTGAAAACCTGTGAACTGTTTCAACTGGTACTTATGATTCAAGAAAATTCTAAAATTTAGTACAATTTAAATTTCACCATAGTCTAGTCAATATTTGCTGAACAATTCATAAAAACTGTTTCTTATAATTTTGTTACCTATTTTCACAGACATAGTAAATTTTGTTTGTTTGTTTCTAAGTGCAAAATAACATATTGGGCTATCTATACTCTGCCCACCGCGGGTATCGAAACTCAATTTTTAACATTATAAGCCCTCCGACTTACCGTTGAGCCATAAGAGGGCCATATCAAGTTGAAGAAACAGACTGTTCAATACTTTAGTACATATCAAATACTGTATTTTAACAACAAATTAAAAATTCAGTAGAAGATATTTAACTGACCTTTATTAATAGAACATCCTGGTTAATCATGATATCAGAATGGTCTCCAGTCAAGCCTTTCATTTTCTGTTAGCAAACAAATTTAGACTATTTTAAATTAGGAGAGATACATACATTTTGTTGGTATGGTAACGTTATAAAGTAACATAAAACGTAAGCTTAATTATCAGATTCATAAACTGTAAAAAAATTAAGCACTTATCGAGGATGCTTCTTTCCATTCTTTGTAAATGTGACTTGTTGAATCATATTTTTTATTTTGTGAACTTTCCTAAAGATATGTTTTAACAACAATCAACGATTTATAAGGAGGAATACAAAGATGAGAAAGTAGACGAGGAAAAATTGACGGTACTTTTAAAATATACTAAAAAAACTGTTGACTGGGTGTGGTAGTGGTATCTTCTCAGTGAAAGGAATCATCTTTGTATAGACAGGTTAAGCCTTCACACTAAAGATTCAAAAGAACACGATTCTATAAAGTGTTTACACACAGAGGGACTTTTATCTTTAGATGCAGAGACCCAACCTCATAGTTTATTTGTTAATAACAAAAAGGTCACTCTGTCAGCAAATTACAACAGTGGCTAAATAAGTGTAAGAGAAATTGGAAACAATGGAGTGGAAAGCGTAACAGATACGAAACATACTTGCAGAAGGCCATAAAATTAGGAAGATACTGAAAATACAACTAGACTTGTCTTCGGATCACCAAAATTAATTCACCCCCACAAAAAAGAATGACATCGCTTAAAAATCACCTGTGAAAGAAGAGTCATACACTTTTGCCATCGTGTGATGACTGAACGTGCCAGAAGATAACAAATTACGTCAACACGAAGGAAGTGAAACAGAAATGGAAAGTACATTCTTATTCTAGCCAATATTTTTGTTTTTTCTTATCGACAGAAAGAAGAGATTTACGTTTAATACTACTGCTTATCATTTCGGATTCGTTCCCATTTGTTCACAGAATTTTATTATCATTAGCTGATCACACTCATATTGACTGCTACTGCTATAGCTCAAGACAGTTCTTTTTCTTTTGTTTATCCTAATAAATATATCTCCCATCTTCACTCACAGATGGCAGTAGTGTCCCGAATGAAAGTTGAAACTAACCTCCTATGTATCCTATGTATATAGATAGATGGTAGTAATTTTTGACTAAATTTTATTTTGTGTTCAATGCCACAATTTCGGCAGATGTTTATTGATTAATAATGTTATAAATTTAATCAAGAGAAATATTAATAGCACCTAATGTTACTGTTCTATAAAAAACAGGTATTCCCTCCAAGAAATATTTCAACTTATCTACTTATATGGCTAGCAGTTACTTATAATAGGCAAAAATATCTTCAGAGATAAACTACATTCCCTGACTAGTATGGTTAAGACACACGTTCATAGATGGAAGAAGTTTGTCATTTACGATTATTCTGACAAACATTTAAGATTGTCCACGAATAATAGTACTAACTCAACCAGAGACATGATATACGATATAAGGAAAAACAGGTGTGTTTGGCGTAGTTTGGAGAAAGATATAAAAGACAATGCGATCAACGAAAAAGAGAGAGAGAGACTGAGAGATGTGAGAGAGGACAAATAAATGGAGAGAGAGAGAGAAGAGAAGGAAAAAGCAAAACTTGTTCTAAATCTAAATTACTTGTGTTATTGACATAATAATAAAAAGAAAATTTGTTATGTTTAAATTTGATGTGTGTCAATTATAGAAAGAAATAAGCAGAACTTTAGAAAAAAGTTCAAAGGAAAGAGACTTGCGAGCATATTACAATCATAGCAATGTTGACCCAAAATAAAGTGGTGTCAAAAGCGGTCTACAATAGAATGATATCAGAAATCCACGATACAAAAACAGTTGAATTATGAATAAAGGTTTTTTTTTTTGTGTTACTCATAGTTTCGTTTTCGTTTATTCGGGGGGTATGTTCGCTGTGGTCCACCGTGTATATCATTAGAAAGAGTCTCGTCATGCTCCGTAATTCCAGCATTGGAAATAACTAATGTAGCGAAAAAGAACTTTAATAATACTTCCCATTTGAGAATTTGTTAAAACATGCTTGATAAAAATATGATAATAATTTTGTTGTGCATAATTTCCAAAATTTAGTTTTGTACAACGTTTGTGTGTGTTTTCTTGTAGCAAAGCCACATCGGGCTATTTGCTGTGTCCACCGAGGGGGATTGAAATCCTAGTTTTAGAGTTGTAAATCCAAAGATTTACCGCTGTCCCACCTGGGGGGGGGGCAGTTTTGTACAAAAACATTTTTAGAGGAATTATAGAAAACATATTAATCCTTGCATAAAGCTTAAGGTAAATATTTGTGTATCTAAATAGACAATTAATTTACATATATGACAATCACAGACAGGAGAAAATGTTTTAACGTAGTGAAGTGAACAATATCTGATAAAAGAAACTGAATAGTAGGAAACAGCCTTTTTTTTGTAAGCAAGATACTGTGAAATGGAGAATGGTGTTATTTGTAATATTTATTTCACTAAAGTTATTTTGACTTGTAACTTACATTTTAATCTGGAGAAAACATTTATGATTGAATAAATTATATCTCAACAAATATTAAATAATTTATATCTCAACAAATAACTCAGAAAGCAATAAAAAATTTAAATCATGCTTTCATCTTACAGTTTGTAAGTTTTTATTTAAAATATAATAATTTATAAGCAAATAAATCTGAATTAAATGGAAAAGGTGAAAACAAACAAACAAATGAAACTCACCGATGTTACTTGTACATCAAGTCCACTACTTCCCTGAAAAATAAATAAAAATCATACATTTTATAAGCATTTCTCTTAACTTTATGCAAGCAAATTCAAGACCAAGACCAACATAGTTAATAGATTGAAAACAATCTATATTTTACTAAAACTTTAAATCTCTATCCAAGATTTTACACCTATCATTGAAACGACTTTAGCGTTTCGTGGAAACATCTTTAAACATAAAAATGAGCTGTAATGTTATGATTGTTTTAGTTTCTTCAAAATACACCACTAAGGAAAACCCACTTCCTACAATAAATGTTTTCCATGATATACCTTTTAAACTAATGAAGTTCTGATGGCACGTAGTAATATACAGTTTCTTCAGTTTGGCTATATTGACCTAAGTAGTTGATATCTTACCTTATTTCCTTTTTCACCTTTAATACCCTGAAAACAAATAACGAACATTAGAAATATAGTATCGTTAACATATTGATGGAAGTTTTAAACGTTTATAATTTAATGCCTTTATACTCTGCGTATAAGATAATTCTAAGGATTGTAGTTGAAAATAGTCCATCGAACCAAACTTCCCTCGTGTTAAAAGCAAAAAGAAATGAAAATCGATTGGAAACAAATTTGACTTGATAAATATATGTATATAAATAATGCTTATATTGGTAAATATATTTGTATGACTACATTATTTGTATCACATTCAAGCACTCTGTTTTTGACATTAGAAAATGGTCCATTACAAAAACAAAAATTCAAATTCCGTGTTGCTTAATTAAGTAAAAAAAAAAAGTAAAATTTATGAAACGCAAAATGAAGAGAATTACATTTATGAAGAGTCAACTTTAAATAATGAATGTAAATCCTTAAATACGTAAAAAGCAACTCGCCTTTGTTGAATTTGAATATATTTTCTAATAGTATTAGTATAATAATAGTATGATTTATGCAGTTTGAGCATACTAACCTTTTTCTATTACGACCAGGCCATCCAGGAAGCCCTATTGGGCCCTACTCAGAACACCATGCATTATAAAAGACAAATCATGCAAACATAAATAAACCATAAATATGAGTAAACTGTTTTTTTAGTGTAAATATCCGTTCACAGTTTACTGGAACCAAACAAATATGTTGTAGGTAAATTTTAAAAAAAATACAAAAAATTAAGCCCAGAGTTTTATAATAATATGTAACGTGATATGGTTCCAAAAGAGTTTAGCAAGATTTTAGTTTTATAGTTAACTGAATTATTCTGAGCTTTTACCAAATTCAAAAGCGTTGCGCGTTTTCGCCCTTTTAATCTAGGCCTAACTGTTTACGGAAATGAATGATATTGATTCATACTTTCATGAGATGAATTTTTTAACGTAGTGAAAGGCCCAAATTAACTCAGTTGAATGTTGATTATGATTCTACAAATATATAGCAATCTAATTAAGTAAAAACATGTTGCTCAAATAACTGTATAGAATACTAGTATATGAAGAAAGAGAACAAAATAAACTTTGATTTTGATAATAAAATACGCCAGTAGCGCAGGTTCATGCAAAATATTTAGGATAAAGTTTAAAAACATATGTACAACATATCTTTCTTTAGAAAACAACAAAATTGGTATATGTTTTTTCTAATTTCAGTACAATTTTAAACCCTTCTGTCAAGTTGGTATAATTCAGTCATGCAACTAATTGTACGTTATCAAACAATACGAGAAACAACCTAAGGGTTTAATATTTGAAAGAATGACTACGTTTGAAATGTTTAGTCGACAAAGACTTAATTCCAAAGTATACGTACCTTATAAAAAATGTATTATGTGCACTTGAATCAATAATACCTTGAAATTCTACCTTTTTGATATAAATATCCAATCTTATAATTCTTACTTTTTCACCCTTTGGTCCCTCTATTCCAATTGCACCCTGTAAAAAAAGAAAAAAAAAACAAATCTGAAATAAAGAAAATATCCGTATTTTCCTATCAACAGCCAAGTTTTCTCATAAATATAAAAAGCAACGATGCAACTTTCAGTCTTAACGATATGTACTACAATTCGTTGTACATTACTGTTCTTATAGATCTAATCATTTTGTGAGAGCAAGCGCTTAAGATACAACAAATGAGCCACAACTGTATCTCAAATACCTATCTCCACTATTGGAATTATAAAGCTTACAGGCTAATAATTTATTTTAATGATAATATTTTTATTGCTCCGAACTGAATATTCAAAACTTAATACGTTTATTTTCAATCCCTTTCTAGCGTATAATCTATGAATTATAGGCTAAAATATTCCAACAAGAACGCTAAATATATTTCTATGCATCTTGAATCGGCTATCATAATCCAAATATCTACATACAAAGCACGACTCGTTTATGAAAAGTAACTAATAAGTTTCTTATATGCGAGTATTCATAATCACTGAAGCTTAAGAAATGGGCATCCCTAACAATTACCGGAAATCCAGGTTTTCCAGGAGGTCCAACAGATCCCTGAATAAAGAAAGAGGAAGGAAATGACATTGTCAAAAGTAAGTGAAATATGGATGACATTTGACTGATTATTTTATATTAAAATATCTTAAGTTTGTATAATATTGAAGGGATGAATGACTTTTGTTTTAGCATACAGATTACGCAGTATCAAATTTTCTTGAAGTCAAGGAAAAAAACACAGTAAACAGAGAAAACTCTCAGAAGTCTGATATCAGAGAAACTAGTTTCGTGCGTCCTTTTCAGTCTCACGTAGTCTTCACGTATTTTACTACATTGTCAGTTCTGATCTAAGATAGAGGATTTTCAGACTTGTTGGTAGCTCTTATATGACAATTTCTGCATAGTTTAATTAATATTCGTCTAAACGTAATCACTATCAAGAAATTGGTCGAATGAGACACAGCCTGACTAACTTTCTTCATTTATAGGGTTCAGACAATAATTTGATGCATCATATGGTCAGTCTTATTTACATAATTTTTGAAAAATAGAGTATTTTAAGAATGTCTATGGTATGGTCCTTATAAAGACATTAGTCGCTATATTTTACACAGAAAATGTTTCTTTGAACGATTAAGAAATTTTCATTTGAAATTTTGATATAAGCTAAGCCATATAAAAAAACCCTGGGTAAATATATATATATATATTTACAAAACAGTATTCTTATCGTTCACAGACATACCTCTGAAGATATTTCGTTCACTTTATCTACTTCAACATTTTACATTGTTAACTTACCATAGGACCTGCTGGTCCTATTGGCCCTGGTTTTCCATGTTTGCCTCGTCGACCTCTTCGACCTTTTTCACCTTTGGGCCCTGAAAGATATAAAAAGTATTAATATCCAGAATATGTATATTTGAACATAGTCTACTTTGGAAGTGGAACAATTTTTCTTTCATTGGATTCTTATCCTAAAATGAAGCAATTCAGTGTCTAGCAAATTGAGAATAATCCCCTTTAATGTAATGTTTTACATAATTAGTTTTTAATATATAAATTTAATTGGGATCAATTTCACAGCAGTCTTGATATTTATGTTTAATTTCAGTAATGTTGTTGTGGTTGGGTTTTAGTGCAAGGCTACACAATTGGCCATAAGCGCTCTTTCCAGCCTTTTTTTAAAGGCTATAATTCTAGAAACTTACCGCTGACACACTAGGGGACGTTCTAATAACACTTGATACATTTACATGAACTAAAACTACGAACATTAACGAAAGAAATTACAAAAAGCGATAAGCGTGTAGGCATAGCCTCGAGCATGTGAAACGTAGCTCACCAGTGGCTCAGCAGTAAACCTGCAAACTTATAACACTAAAAATCGGGTTTCGATATCCATGGTAGGCACAGCACAGATAGCTCATCGTGTAGTTTAATGCCTAATAAGAAACAAAAAAATCTATGTGCTGCTCTATGTTAACCCAGGATCTCTCCCTCACCCAGAGGCGAATTAGTGGTTTTGGGTGGACAAAGCACAAAACGTTACGTTAACTAACTTTTGGAGGTTTTTGCACAATCCGTTGAAATTTCCAGGGTTTGCAGTATCCAAATATGCAACGTATATAACGGTAACGTAATTTATTCGGGAGTTATTGGTAGTCAAAGAGACATAAAGTTTGAGAGTGGCCGTATCACCTTACTAGTGACGGTTATACCCACGAATTGATTAATTTTTTGAATCCTCAAACCAAACCGTCATTAACTATAGAATTTCTCCTGATGATGTGGCCAGTCCGACTTGGAGCTT